CTTTTAATTGAGAGAATTCTTTTCTAAGTTTTGGGAGGTACTGCGTTGATTCCCACTGGGAAGCTTTGTTTTTTTTCTGTCATAACTTTGGCTTGCCTAGGCTTCCACAGAGAGAAAAAAAAAAATCAATTCTATTTAATTCCTGTTATTATCAACAAGGTTGGGATGCAGCAAAATTCTGAAAATTTCCATTTTATTTTCACTGTTTAAATATGCTCTCTATGGAGCACATTGAACTCCATTCTTGGGACTAGAGTAGAGACTGTTCCTCCAGGTTGTGCTGCTTAGTCATCTTTTTTTTGCCTTCTGTCAGTGTTCGTCATTAAGCAACATGTTTGGAAGGAAAACTTGTGGCCAGCAGAAACTTTGCTTTTCTTTCTGTCATTCCTATTTTGTTATATTGACTCTTAAATAGTGGTGTATAAGTTCCTGGCTAGTGTGTATCATTCTCTTTCCAGAAGTGTTTACCAACGCGGTCAGCTGGTACAGCCTGTTTCCTCAACAAGTACATGCCCACAACTATATTAGGCAATCGTAGTACTTAGACAGGATTGTGAGTTCCTCTTCTAAGATAAATATTGTGGCACTGTAAACACATCTTTTGATGACTACATTGCATGTGTATGGGGAGATACCTCTCTTTTCCCCATCTTCCATTCCTGTTTCCTTCCCTACTTAACACTACTGATACCGTTCAGTGAATTCTTATGGAATGCAACCTCTAGAATTCCTGCTGTTGGAGAATTTGGAGTTGTAATAATGACCTATTTAAGGAATTATTAAGGAATTAAAAGTTATTCAGTGTTAATTTAACAGTTTTTAATTTGTGTGTTGGTACTAGGCATTTTTACTAGAGTTAACAGTCTTACCTCTCAATGAGGTTAAAAAGAGGAATGAATTTGCAGCTTAGAGTGTATTAAGTTCTTCTGACATGACTGCTATCGTAGTATCGAAGTATTGTGTAGCCAAAAGTGTGCCATCTGCCCTACTGCTTATATTTATGAAATCCTTGATGCATGATACTGTACATCGAAAAGACATTCTTTTAAAGGCTCTAGGACTAGCATTAAAATGTCATACATAGGGTGGCAGTTGTATGAATAGTAGTTTGGTGAAGTAGATTTTTCTTAAAAGTGAGATGGAAACCATAAGACCTACTTAGTTTAAGAAAGGTATGTATTTTTAAAAGTGCTGAGACTATCAATGCATGTTTCTGATTAACCTTTCAGTAAGGTGCAAACAAGTATTTTCACTAGAAGAGAAGCAAGTCTAAAGTAGCTACAATTACAGAATGTTTCATGCATTGTGAAGACTTGTGAGAGACTTCTTACTTGGCCCCACTTTAGTAATTCAAATAATTGGTATTTTAGTATGAAAAGTGGTGCTAGCCTTTGTCCGTTGACACTTTATAAAGTGATCACTAATTTAGCTAAGGAAATCTTTGTTTTTATGATGTTCTGTTACGCACTTTGATGTTCTGCAAAGGTGATGTTTTGCTCTAAGTTGTGCAGCTCAGTTGCAGGTGCTGTTGCACATCCACAACTTAAATCATTGTAGAATGAGCAGACAGTTGCTTATATATCTAAAAACTCTTACATGGTTAAAGAAAAAATCAGTTTACCCTTGAAGCAATTAAATTACTTTGAAATACCAAAGATATTAGTGCCATCTTTTTCTGACCCTCATGGTCCTTCTACCTCTGCCCTTACTGGTCCCCATCAAGATGGAAACTTCAGTCCTGAAAGAAAATTGCCAAGGTAAAATGGAACATTGGACTTGATTACTTTGAAGGAATCATGCACTGTTACACTGTGCTGTGCGTTTTCTTTTCCCCAGACGGGTCACTCACGTGGCTGCTGAACAGAGATATTTTTCCACACTTTGATTTAATGGCTATTCCAATTCCTTGGCCCTCTGTAGTCATGAAGGAGGTCTGAGAATTTGTGCTTTTCCACCTTCCTTTCCTGAACTTGTGCGATAACTGCCTCTTGTATGAAAGTACCATATCCGTTCAGAAGGAGTGGCTTTTCTCTTAGAGCAGGAGAGGGGTTTCAGAAAGAGCTTTGGGGGTTTTTTTCTGTTTTCTTTTTTGTAATCCATGTGTTCTGGAAAATGTAGAGTGGTGGAGCACTTTTTGCCCATGTGGCAAGGGACAAGCAGCTTTTGTAGAACAGGCCAGTTCTGTACCTTCAGTGCGAGAAATGGAAGGAAAAAGCTTGTAGGAAGAGGGCTGCTTTTGAAGCATGGGGTAGGCTTGTCTTCATTCAGGTATGAAGCTGGGAATAGGACTGAAAACATGACTGCCAGGCTCTGAAAGATACTCACGCTTTCATTGTCTCTGGGTCTGAGGAGTGATTAGGAAAACATAACTATACAGCATTAACTATTTTTGCTTCCATGTTGTTTTGTCTATGGAAGTGAAATACAATTTTACGAAGCTGACACTTCTGCAATTACAAATACATTTTGCGACCTACAATTATCTTATATTGGTCGGGAATATCTAATTAGGTGACTTTCAAAGTTCTAATTTAACTTGCATGTTTGTTGTAGTTCAGGAAAACAGAGTATCTCACATGGTTCTTGTTTGTCGTAACTTCTTTATGTGTCCTAATTTAAGTAGAGTTTGGTGTGTTTTACAAGTGCATGTTACTTAACATTCAGTATTTATAAGATTTTTATCTTTTAGGGATGAAAAAAATTGTATATGTCAAAAAAATTGAAATTTGGGAAATAGAAGAAATACAAGTTTTGAGTTTGATATGCTCTGCAATATGATACAGAGGCTCTTTGCTGACTGGCTTCAGTTTGAAAACTGTTCTGGTTTATGAATGGCTTGCTTGACTTCTTCTACTATAATAGTTTTAATTAAATAGGTAGAGCTTCCAAAATTGGGGATAAACTTGACTGATTTTGGTGTTTTTTCTTCACTGGCAAGTATCAGATTCTGTTTACTTTTTTTCAATAAAGTTACCTGTTGCCAGTCACCAGCCATGTGTCCCCTAAAATGGCTATTTGTGAAAAATTAGTACTTTGACTTCAGTTCTGAATGTGTTTGGGAAAGGGTAATTATGGTAAGCTGCTTTTAATTCTCTTCAGAGCAATGAAAAAATGGCGCACGCTGCAGGGTGCACAGAACATCTAAAAAACAAAAAAATTCCAACCAGCCAAACCACTCTAAAACTCAAAAATATGCCAATGAAAAATTGTTGTCAAAGTGTACAGAGAGAGATGATGATTGGCACATTTGGAGTGGGTAATGAAACTTAAATGTCCAAGGGGTGGCGTGGATGTGTGGGGGTTTTTTAATTGATGTAAACCCATGACAGCGGTGAATTTCAGAATTAGTTTGAGCACTCTGGTCTCTGCACTTATCTCGTCAGTGGGTACCAATGCTGGGTTAGCAATGCAGATGGGAAGAGCTCGTACTTTGTTTTCCAAGTTAGTGCAAAGTGTCACAGTGATGGCTTCCCTGAGCTGTAAGCTGAAGTAGAAGATTTTGAGTAACATACTAATATTGCAGTTGACGAGTCTTACTGGTATTTCTATTTTAACAGTTTTGAAAATATTATTAACTAGCATAGCTAATTAGGCATATAGGTGTCTGCCATTCTTAAAATACTAGGTTTTGGAGAGAGAAAAGTCAGTTGCTTTGTGTGTACAAGTACTATAACGTAAGCCATTAAGATAATTCAGTAGCGGAGCATACCACAGCAGTATCTCTAATCTGAAGATGGAGGAACCTTAAAGCTTAGTTTATCAAGCTTAATTAAATTTGTATTCATACATTTTAATATAGTTATTATTGCAGTCTATGGGTTTAATCTAAGATTATGAGGATGTGACTGTTCTATTTAGTTATTTGACAAATAAAATAAGTGCTTTTTCTTGCTGCAACCAATCTGTGGTTTTGCTAACAGTTCAATATTCATGCTAGCTCAAGAGAAATTTTTTTTTTTTTTGGTAGAAGTATACCAAAATTATCATATTGATGTGCACAACACTCTTGAAATTTAATTTTTTTTTTTTTTTTTTGAGGTTCACTACAGGACAAAGCATATTTCAAGTGGTTTAAATATAGAGTAGTATTTTGCACTTTGACCCATACAAATAAACTTTTACCTTACTGGAATGCCAGACTGCAGCCACCTGGTCTCTGCTCTTTGAAAAGGGCCTGTTCATGTGACTCAGACAGTGGGATCTGAACCAGGGGTTGGGGGGGAAGAAGTAACTTTTCTTTCCTTCTCTTCAAGGAAGTTTTCCTGAAAAGGTTTTATTTAAATTGACTAAAGGGTAGATGTTTCTCAGGCAAAGCTTGCAGTAGCCTCGTAGCTGCTGGTCTTCTTCCTTCTGGTCTTCTTCAGCTGTGTATTGATGGAAATCGATGGAACTTGCCTTTCATTTATGCTTGAGTTTTAAGAGAACACAATGTCTACTAACTAGTTTTTATAAACCGATCAAACTTACAGTTGCAAGTTTCCAGTACTCCCAGTGTATTGGTAGCACAGTATTGATAGTGTAGCAAAAAACTATCCCACTTGTTCTTCTTTGCATTCAATTTGTGGGTTTGTGAGGATGTTTGTAGCAAGAGAGAGAATTAAAAGGTAGCATGAGTAAAGAATAAGTGGATAGGGTAAAAAAACCCACACAAACACAAAACAAAACCCTGAGATTGTTAAATAATAGTAACTGGTATGTAGCCAGTAGCTATGGTTTGAAATGTGCAGTGTATTGATAAGAAGGATGTCTAAATCAGACTGAGATATTGCATCCAAAAGCCTTACTTTTATATTGGCTTGAATCTCTGTGTGAAAATGTTATCTGTTCTTAGACTGGATCTTGAATGCCACCCTTTATTTTTCTTGTGTTTAAATGGAGGTCTTGGAAGTCATGTTTTGAAGACTATTCAAAATTGTGAGATAAATATTAGACTTGTTTTGTCAGCTTGGGAAAGAGATCTGATCATCTTGTGCCAATGTGTTTTCTTGCCTTTATACTAGTTTTTGATGATGGTGATGAAAGGACCTTGAGACGAACTTCATTATGCTTGAAGGGAGAAAGGCACTTCGCAGAAAGTGAGGTAAGACAATGATGGACATGCAATGAAAATTAAGTAGTTAGTTGATTATTATTTTTTTAGAATAAGAAGAAATTGTGAACTAATTTTGTCTCCTCTTTTTCATGTAGACACTTGATCAACTGCCACTAACCAATCCAGAGCACTTTGGAACTCCAGTTATTGGGAAGAAATCTAACAGAGGAAGAAGATCTTCTCTTCCTGTGTGAGTTTTGATATAGTGCTCTGTTGCTTTCCTTTCATGTCCATTGCTAAAACTGAAGTTGTATCATTGAAACTGTAATGGTCTGAATGCTCTATCGTGTAAGTTGTATGCACAGCTTGTGGACTTAAGTAATTGGGTTCACGCAGACATGTTCTTGTATTGGCAGTATTATGAAATTGATGGGTTTTTTCTGTGTAGTAGCCTTAAGAATGTTCATGCTGCTTCCATATATTAGGAGCTCGTGCCAGGAAATGTAGGATTTTTAACCTTCTTTATACTGCACAAAGTAGGAAAAAAAGGTGCTTTTAAATTTCTGGGGTAGAGACCATTTCTCTTTGTTTCATGTCTGCACAATCAAATCCTGATTCATGCCTCCAATCCCAACATGATGCTGTTGTAAAATACTACTGCTCGGAAAGAATTTCTACAAAATTCCTCTTACTAAGTAAGTGCACTTAATATTTAAGTGTATTTCAAGCAATTTCAGTTCTTAAAATTCTAATTTTGTTTTTGAAGCTTTGCAGAACAGGAAGAAAGATTGGTGGTAAGCTGTCCTTGCTTTCAAACATTAACTTCAGATGAGAACTTTAAAATACTGTATGTTTTAATAATTTAGTACTGAAGATGAAAAGGAAGAAGAAAGTAGTGAAGAAGAGGATGAAGATAAAAAGCGTCTCAATGATGAATTGCTTGGCAAAGTTGTGAGTGTGACTTGTAATTCTGAGAAGGCAGACTGGTATCCCGCTTTGGTAAGTTGCTTAAGACATTGATGTCTCTACTACTAATACCTTTTTAGGCAAGAGTGTCATCTGACTTGTTATATTACTTGTAGAGTGGTTTTCCTGGATAGGATGGTTTGCAAACGTCATAGCTTTTACATTAAAGTTGCAAATGTAGTCAGGCTAAGCTCTGCTGCCCGTATTTTCTAAAAATACAAATATTCTGCAGTATCTATGAAAAGTAGGAGAGCAAAGATTAACATTTATGTGTAAGTTAGTTTTATACTCTTAAGTCTTTCAAAACTGCACATAAAATGATAGGTATGTAACGATATTTTTCTTCTAAAAATACGATATGTTAAGACTTGCACTCCCAGACAATTTTAAAACAACTAGATGTATGAATGTTAATTGCGGTGGAATTTTTATCTTTTTGTATTTAATGCTTCCCTTTTTCCTTAGACTTTTAATTTTTGTAAATGCTAGTCTCTTTCATGCTTGAAATTACGTAAATGGCCAGCTACTCTAGCAGTAGAGATTGATAGTTATTTTTATTTGGCTGTCAGTATAAGATACATTGCTGATAATAAATATATATTAAATAAATTCAATTAGAAGTAGACTTGTATTGTAAAGGTAGACACTTTGCATATCCTTTATATGCACAGAAAAGTTCAGAGATGCACCTTAGAAGTTGCTTTCTTTAGTAAACTTTTTAATATTGTCAGACTAGCTGAATACACATCTGTCATCTATCAGAGATGTATTTGTTTTAAAAAAAATTATTTGGAGAGTTAAACAGGGAGGTTTGGTTCACGAATTTTTGCAGATTTTATTTACTTAACTGTATATTCTGTAGTCCTTTATTTTAATAGAGTCTTCAGGGTTACCTGGAAAGAGCTCAGCTGTTACAATCTTCTAACTTAGTTTAACATTTTATTCCCCTGTGTGAATGCAGGATCAAAAGGTAACTAACTACACAGGCCAGTTGTCTTCCCTTCCTTGAAAAAACATTATGGTGTAACGTAGGGTGAATAGTTGACACTGGCTTATCCAGCTGTATGTATCTGTTTAAAATGTGAAATGTGGTATTGTGTGTGTTCTGATTGTGGTACATCCTTTTACTAACAGCATATTTTAACTTAACGGGGTTCTAACTAGGGAATTAAGTTACTGGAGATCATGTACCTGTTCTGTTCTCTGTTACCTGAGAAACAGCAATACCTTGTCTTGACTTTTGGGGTAAAACTTCTGACTCATCTGAATGGGGTGGCACAGCTTCCACTGAGTCCTGGTAGATACAGAAGTTCATCTGCATTTGACATTTTCTGTCTGTATATGATCTAGAGCAAATATATACAAATATTGCAAATGCATTTTTATCACCTTTTTAGACATAGACATGATACTGCTTTAGAAGGATGCACTGGGTTCCACACTAATTTATATTACCCACGCCTTAAAAAAAAATCCCAACAAACCTATTTACCTCTTCCTTTGAATGCCAAAGATCAGAAGCTGGTATAAAATAAGTGGGTCTATGACTTCCTGAATAGATGCTTTAAACAGGTTTTGTATGAAAAGAGGAAAAAAAAGCAGAGTGAATAAACAGGATCCCATGATGTCACCCCAGTAGATTAGTTTTGAGTGTACAAATGAAATTGCAAACTTTTCTAGCTTGTACATAACAAGTAAAGTTAATAGTTTGAAGTAAACTGGTGCTTGAAATTTGTCGTTGTTGGCCTCAGTAACAAATTGGAGTAGGTTTGTTTTCTCAGAACTGGAAAATATAATAGAAGAAACAGGAAAACAGCAGTTTTCCTGCTGTCCATCTTTCTTTCCTTTCAAGATCAGCTTTTTTTTTTTTTCATAAAAAAAGTGTTTTATTTGAAACTTCAGGTTGTGTCTCCCAGCTGTAATGATGACGTCACAGTGAAAAAGGACCAGTGTTTAGTTCGATCCTTTGCCGATTCCAAATTGTAAGTAATAGCTTACTTTCATTAGATGTATATGGGAGAGAAATGCAAAACTAATTACATATGACTTCTGAAGACATTATTTCTTCCAAAAGGGAAGGGTATAACTTTGTGTAATGCTGGTTGTACACATTTGTCATTCATAGTCCACGTCCAACTAACTACCTCTGTGCTTTTACTCACCCTCCTTTACCTTGTGTGTACTGTAAGAGTTCATTGGATTCGTAAAGTTTCTGGTGTTTCTTAAGTTAAAAAAAAAAAAATCAACAACCTCCAAAAAAAACCCAGGTGTTAACACTTTAGATGATTCCTGTTCTTTGAAGTGTGAGTTTGGTTCTAATTATATTCCTTAATGTCTTATTATGCCTTTATGGGTGTCTGTTGTACTAGTTTGGATATCTGATTGACTCATTACCTCCAGTGCCCAGATGTCCATGGCTGTTTAAGTAGCAAAGTTTAAAAGTGTTTAATCTACTTTTTTTTAATAAAAAAAGTGAATGTAAAGTAACTGCTTAATTAAAATTTTTACAGAATCTGAACCAAAATTCCTGGAAAAAGAAAGAAAAGTCCTATTAGCCCATCTCCCTCCGGGGGAAGGATAGGGGGAGGGGACGGGACGGGACAGAGATATGTGTCTTCCTTAAGGAATAATATATTCAAAAGAGTATGAAGACTTTTTTTAAAGCTGTTGCCCTTTATTTCTCTTCATCCTTACTTCTAATGCATCTGTCTCAACATATTGTAACTGAAAACTTCCTTGCTGAAGGCCAGCTGTCACCCCTCTTTCCCTCTTCCTTTCAAAGTAAAAAATTTGATTTTTTAATAGCTGTGATTTTGAGTAGGGTGTGAGAACTTGATTACTGAAATTTATCTCAAGTCACTGAAAACTTAATTCACTTTGGCCTTAATGTAGACATGTATCATCTGGCTAAGTCTGGTTCTTTATATGCTGAAGGTAGAATGTTATTGGAAAAGCATGCAGACTTCCTCTGTTTACTTTTTTTTCCTCATAGTATTATGGCTTTAACTTCAGAAAATGGTGGCCTCCAATTCCTGAGGTTTTATTCCAGTTTTTCTGAAATAATGAAAGAAGAAAAAAAAAATCTTATTATAATAACTCACTTGTAAGGCTTTCCTTGCAGGTTGGTTAGCATTTCTATTGTAGTAATTCAGTAACTGAATACTCAGTATAACTTTAGAACAGAGCAACTTCCATATATTTTGCTGTGAGAACACTTTTGTTATCTAAAAAATAAAAATCAGGTATTTATCAATGCAGATATGTGCATTTGGCTTCACTGTTGTTCTGCGCTATGAGAAATGCATTTTGAAAATAGAGGGCTTCTTTCTTTCACCTTAGCTAGATGGCTATTTTGGGTAGCAGCTGTTGATTGATGTGAATATTTTCAATTTAGAAAATGTTTATTGCCTATGTAGAATATTTCACCTTTGCAAATTTGTGCAGCTTAAAATAACGAAGCTTTACAAACTTTTCGTAATTATTTAATTACAAGGGTTATTTTGGAGTCTGAATTTCAAAGAAAGATTGGAAATTTACTCTGGGTTGGCATTTTGTGTTAGGACCTACACTAACAAATGCCTTATGCATTCAGTTGTTAGAAAGGACCTTGAAAGTGTATGATAAATCTTGAAAAGTTTAGAAATTGCTGGTTTTCTAAGTCAAATGGTTACTTTACTGTGATTTAAAAGTAATATAAGAACTTTATTCTTTTTCAGTTACTCGGTAGCAAGAAAAGACATTAAAGAACTAGATGTTCAGAATTTACCAAAATCCGAGTCCTCTCCTAAAAAAGGTAAATCAGAATACTTTTTTTAAAACACCTAGAATTTAATCTTGTGCAATAATACTTTTGACTTCTGCAGTGGCAACCCTTTATTTCTGATAATTGCTCTTGGATATTTTGCAAACAATTTTAAATGTGATAACTTAGAGAAACTTTGGATATAGCTGCCTTATTATTAAAATAGGACCTAGTAGAAGTCTTGTTTATTTGATTTTTTTTATTTATTTATTTTCTTCTTTTGATCCACTCCAAATTCCTGGAAAGTGAATAGAGTATTTTCAAGGTAGAGTATTTGAAATGTCATTGAACAATGGAATATATGGTTACGTGTCCTAACACTAAAGTTTTGTGGTATTGCTCAAACCACTTTGCCTTTACATTAACAATACCCTGACAGCAAGGTGTAAACTTTATTAGAACAACCTGCCTCTGAATAATGTTTGGTTTAAAAGTATAATTACAGAACTTGATTTCTGGATGGATGGATGATGTGACTACAATAATCCATGTTTCTAGTGAGCTTGTAAAAGGCCAGATTCTCACTTTAGTGTAAATAATTCTTTTTATTTTGTTTCTCCCAATCAGACCTCAAAACACAAACTTTGTTGAGATAAATATTTAAAATGCATTTATTTAAAATAATTTTAAAAAGCCCAACCCAGCAACAACACCCCTCCCCTGACTCAACAACAGCAGTTCCTTGGGTTTGAGTAAAGGTGTGGAACAGCTCCTTAACAAGTAAAGATTTAACATGATACTCACAAATGAAAGCTTGCGGTGGTTTTGACTGATTTGTGTAATTCTTAATGATTTCTCTTATACTTTCTTCTTAATAACTATTTCACAGTATAAGAACTTTAGAACAGCCAAGAAAATGATGAGATGCCAGGTTTAAGATAAATTGAAGAAAGGGATTTTTTTTCTTACAGAACGTAATTGGGTTGTGACATTCATTGCCATGAAGGAATATTGTGGAACCAAAGGTACTAGTGGTTTCAAAAAAAAGAGTTTAGACAGTTTTCTGGACATTACTCTGTCAGCAGCTATTAAAAACTGGTGCCTTTTCTTCTCCAGCAGCACTGTGGATGGTTCATTGCAATCTGTCCCTCTTTTGGGTATTCTGATTCCTCTTTATTAAAGTTTTATTGTGTCTGGGGGGCATGTTTTGGGGTTATCTGGGTTTCTTTTGCTTTGTTGTTTCCCCCTTGGAGCATGTCTTCGAGGAAGAGGATTCAAGCTATTCCCACTATACAAGTGTGACTTCGCCCTGTCCTGTTTGTCCTCTGTTCCAACATTCGTGTAACATCTCTTTAGGCAGTGCTCTTAAACAAAACAGTTGCATGTTTGGTTTTTTTTTTTTCCAATCTAAACTTTAAGACATGAAGATACTTCAGAAAGAATAAAGTCAGTCATGGTACTTGATCTAATTGTGATGGGTTTACTTTTCTCAATAGCTTTAGTACAGTATTTCTCTCTTTCATACAGAAACAGAACAGTTCACAGTTGCACAGAATAGATGTAGATAAGTATAGGTGCTTATCTTTGGGTACAGTTCACATACTGTGTGTGTGAATCTTAGTAATGTTCATGGAGACCTGTGCCTAGAAAACAACTGGATGCTGTGTGTGGGATAGATGTTCTCGACTCTCAAATTGAGTTGCTGATACTTGATTTTTAAAATTTGACAGTCTCGAAGTGTGTAAACTGAGTGTTTAAAGCTGAGGTATTTATTTTATTACTTAATTCCATTTTTGGTTTAAGTTGGCATTGTGATTTACAAGAATGTGAAAACGAAATTAAAAAATGCTTTGTGACTGTGAGTACTGGGGATGAGGTGAAACCAGGGCCCTTTCTTCTGTAGGGCTACAGGAGGCAAGCACGTTTCTTGACACCAAGGGTGTTCCTCGGATCTGGAAAATGGACATAAGTGAAATTCTGGAGTCCTCGAGCAGTGATGAGGAAGATGGAGCTGCTGCAGAAACTGATGAGGAGGAAGAAAAGAGAGAAGAGAAAACGGAAGAAGTAGTGGTAAGTCCGGACAATTTCAATCCTTCTTCAAAGATAATTGAATAACTTGCACGCATAAAGATCCTGCGCTTTCCAACGTTTTACTCTCAGGACTTCGCATGCTCACTCTGATGTCTTTTCAGACCTGTTCATCTTCCCTTTGCTACAGCCGTCTTTATTGGGATTTGTGAGCGGTGGCAGCTCGCCCCCTGTTACCCAGTGCACAAATTGGAGACAAATCTCAGAAATTAAGAATTTGAGGCAGAGAAGAGCGATAGAAAGAAATCTGGGTCAAAAGGAGAGACAAACAAAAAATTGATGCTGAGCCTAGCAGTAGTAGTCCAAACTTAGATAAAAGTAACTTTGTATTTTTCTTTTGTACTTTATTTGCAGGTTATATACAAAATAACTTGTTTCTGAAAACAGTAGTTTGATTTAAAAAAAAAAAAAAGACAAACTATTAAAGCAGGAGCAATAGTCTGAAAGTATGAGCTTAATGCACGGTCCCTGTTAAAGCCATGTCCTGGTTTTGGTGCCTAAGACGGTGTTTAAGAGCAGCAGAGGAGTTACCTCTGTAGGTGTTAGTTGTTTTCCGAACACTGGTAATAGAGGTTGGGAATGCTGCGGCGCAGATGGACTTTGTGTCTGGTATTTACGGTAACGGGTTTTCCTGCATTGGAATGCTTTTGAGTGGCTCTTTTTCCACAAACTTAACGAGTTTCTTCATGCCGTCGAAACTGTATTTACAGAATTTCCTTTTATTTCTGCTACCTGTTTTTAACCTTGATGTTCGGGGGGGGG